AAATGCATGGTACATAAAACAATAAGACAATACCCTACCCTCGTCACTGTTCCCATGTATAAAGCATAATTTCTATGTATACACTGCTACTGCTACTTTACATTCTATACATTTATAAATACGTCTCTGTACATTTCTAAATCAATCAACAGTTTTGTATAAGTATCTGCACAGTTCTAAATTGATCCATTAATTTTGCAGTAAACGACATCTTATATATTCATAATAACATGTATTCTATTAGCCATGTCATCTGTATCTATTGACTGCCACATGTATTGCGTCGTCATAGCATTGTGACGTCACGGCCAGAGTTAACAGTTACTGTTCAGTTTTACCTGATGATGGGGCCAGAACAAGCCCTGAAACGTTTTACTCGAGAATAAAAAGAAGATGTAATCCAGAAAAAATCTCCATGTTCATCAAATATCATCTTCTAAAATGCCAATCAAGCATCTAAGATTCTGAATGTATCACAAGTATGATGTTGGAATAGGTTCCTGCTTCTACCAAGGCCAGGATGTATCAGATTTACATTATTAGATGAGGTCCCCCGCCCCTTACACCTGGCCATGGCCTGTATTTATCCATGTCCACCATTGAATGAAGTTACCACTCCCATCCACCTAGGTCTAGGACATGATGTATCAGGGGATCTGGTTATGCGCAGCATCAGAGCCCACTGTGGTTACAAGGGCAGCACTGACAAGACACTGGTAAACATTTGTAACCTGGTCAATACACCACTGGTTCTGCTCAGTCCTTCAAGATGTGGGTCACTAAGCTACAAAGAAATGATAAACCAGTGTTTGTGTACAGGTCCTGTCAGTGGGGGCCTACCCTGAGGCAATAGGCACACTGACACCAGCCAGGAGGGGCTGCTCACCTCAAATAGTTTTATCTCATCGGCTGGGCTACCTCAAGTTATCTTCAAAACATTTTCTTAACTGCAACTCAATATCTAGTCTGTCATACAGACCCTGAAGTAAATATATCCAAGAAATCCCACGCAAGTCTAGAAAATGTGAAAGTCTCAGGGCTCCTTTTCATTATATATTTTTTTTCACTATGAGCCTTTTTTCTGTAAAATATGTTCATTTCAGAGACTAGTTGCTAGTCTACTCAATATCATGACAAGATACATCAATGTATAGAAAAGGGCTTCCCCAAGGAAACTCATGCATGTAACAAGCACTATTTGACATTATTATTTAATATACAACCTTATACTGTCAAGTGAATGCATGGCAGTGTCGGTCCCAAATGAATTCCTGTGCTTCAAACATGTAGCAAGTCCTGTTCACCACAATCTGAAAACATTAACTTGTTCACAATGACAGTCAGGAGGCCATAACTTTTATATTTCATGGCGTGAATTATCTAGCCTAAGTCTGGATATATGTACTTGGCATGACACTGTCAGTTTATCAAAATGAAAAACACTAAACATAAAAAGTGAAGGCAATTATTTTTATGTTTTTCTATACAGTAACATGAACTCAATTTTGGTAATGATAATAATCACCAAAATCTTGAAAAGCACATGTTATATTTTGTTGTGTTACATGTATTCTAAAAGCACCCCCAGTAGTAAGACGATGGAGATTCTGGACCACTGACCCTCACTGTGCCCTTTTGCTCCAATTTGGCTTCCAGCCCCCACTAAAAACCATGGACTACGAACGGGGACATCGTCTGAGTAACAAATAGCTGGCTTTTGCCTCAAGTAGTGACTAACCATAAAACAAGAAACTGATCAGAAATCAATACAGATCAATGAATCTGTAATGGAACTTCCCAACACAACCAGTCATAGTCCATACAACACCTCAGTACTGGTAACTATCACAATTGTCACACTGGTGGTACCCAAATGTCAGCCATGTCGAAGATTAGTGATCAGTTAATAAACATGAACTATGAGATCCTCATTACCATACAAAAGAACAATCTCCATGTTGTGAGTGTCACCAACACCCACAAGTAAATAATGGGATTAACAAAGGGGGAGTGTAACAATTAAATCTGTAACATATTTCTTACCTTGTGATATAGATTAATATATTGTTTGATGTTTAAGGTGCCTCGTTGCTTGTATAACAGGCTATACTTGGTATGGCTGTGTGAGTAATGAGTTTGTCAGCATCACATAGCTTGGTAGTAGAAGGGACAGCAGCAGGCTTATCCCTCTTTGCCATGGACTTACACTGGGTTTTCATGGCAAGTCAACAAGGATTGTACATATTGTCATAGTATGCCACCCTGGTGACCACCCATCTCTTCTGATATTGTGGTGAAATGTGTCACCTATATGTCCACTCATGTCACCTAGGCAGCCATGATGAAACCTTAAACTACAATAAGTGTACCATGCTCCTAGTTGAGGTGCAAATTCACAAGGAGCATCATTAAAGTAGCAGGGTCCTAAACTGTCAGTTGGAGAAAACAAAGGTACAAGCTTTATGGGGACTGACATACTATTGCCCTAAACTTAGATTTCCAACAAATCAAAAGGAAGGGTGCAATCTGGCTGGGTGCACATAATTCTTCAGAGATTGGATGCCTGGATTGTGTGTATTTCCAGTCTACTGCAATATGCAAACAACACATATTGCCATATTTTCTGTGTATATTGGGTAAAAAATTATAGATGTTTTATGATTATCTGTATCATTTAAACTAACATCAACACAGAAACTGAATCACAGATGGGGATTTCCTTTTGCAATTGGTTGACTAAACAGCAAGTACTGATTCTCTCACATTGTTACCTCCCCTGTATCCAGAACTACAACATGACATCAGCTGACAATGTTGACATCTTTGCAAAGGGGTCTGTATGTACAGTCACTGTCAATATCTTTAGCTCCCAATATATGGCAGGACATTTTGCAATACAGATACATGTATCGCAATAAAACATTTTTGTCAATACACGGCCCTAAAGAATAGCATTAAGGCCACATTTATTTGCTTCTATGATTTTAATCAGTTGGTTGATAGTTACTTTAATTTTTTACAATCTCTAAGAGTAAGAGCATCTCTGTATTGTTCAAATCTATCAAATGTGAAATGGTCCAGGAATACAGAAACACAAAACATAACTTTATTTTCCAAACAAATTGTGTTCTTGGTTCCAGTCTGTCAAATAATCATTACACAAAGAGGAAAAGAATGTGTCACCAAGAGACACAGCACAATAACAATAACCACGTAATAAGACAACTTAAATTTATAGTAATAATCTTAACATTGGTGTTCATAAGTGTTGCAGTGTTCATGTCACTTCACCAACATGTGTGCCCAATATTTCACTGGTGTTGATAAATTCTGTCTGAAGGCTGCCACAACGTAAAGGTCACTTGGAATTACCTCTACAACAACCACAGCATCATGACAATATCAACTTTACACACATCAGTTTGGTATTTCAGGTATCTCATCATTACACTGTTTCCTAGTCAGATGATTCAGAATATGTCACAACTGAAGGTACAAACATAGATCACAGCATAAACTGAAGAACTATGGAACAAGGGTGTATGTCAAGAGTCAGCTGCTTCAGTACAGGCTTACATGAAATTATAACATAGATCGCAGCATATACTGAAGAACTATGGAACAAGGGTGTATGTCAAGAGTCAGCTGCTTCAGTACAGGCTTACATGAAATTATAACATAGATCGCAGCATATACTGAAGAACTATGGAACAAGGGTGTATGTCAAGAGTCAGCTGCTTCAGTACAGGCTTACATGAAATTATAACATAGATCGCAGCATATACTGAAGAACTATGGAACAAGGGTGTATGTCAAGAGTCAGCTGCTTCAGTACAGGCTTACATGAAATTATAACATAGATCGCAGCATATACTGAAGAACTATGGAACAAGGGTGTATGTCAAGAGTCAGCTGCTTCAGTACAGGCTTACATGAAATTATAACATAGATCAAGAGTCACGCAAATTATAAATATAGCATATACTGAAGAACTATGGAACAAGGGTGTATGTCAAGAGTCAGCTGCTTCAATACAGGCTTACATGAAATTATAACATAGATCGCAGCATATACTGAAGAACTATGGAACAAGTGTACATGTTAAAAGTCAGCTTCTTCAATACAGGCTTGCATTCCGTCAGATATCTAAGTGAAGTGTCACTACACATGCAACAATGACATCCGTCCCCGTGTAGATCCGTACGGAACACATACTTGAATAACCATCCTGAACTGTTGCTCAGTATTTTCAACATGCAACATTTAAAAGCAAATCTTATTATGACTAAACAGTCATTATGTTGTAACCATATGAGAGACAAATGTCAAACACAGAAACTGTTGGCACACTGCAAATGTCAGCAGAGAAGTTGTGTCCTGGACTCGAGGACATGGACTTAGTGGGGGTTATACTGACTGGTTCTTATCAGTATGTGTGTACAAGCATGTGTACATATATATCATGTGTACAAACAGTGATAACAATTGGTATTGTGGGAAGAAGCTGTCATTACACAACTTCAGTTTGCTGTAACTTGACCTGTAGTGTTTGACACTGTCTGTGTGAGGTTATCTGCAGCATTAATCATCACAATTCAAGAGGTTACTCTGAATCTTGGCACACTGAACACTGTTATTGTAACCTACTTTGTATGAAGGAGACCCTGACAGCAGCTGGGCAGGAGCACCAGGGGAGTGTAAAAGGGGCAAAATCACTACCATTGACTACACTGGAAACTCTGACTCATGCATGGGATAAAAGCTTTATACATCCAGAAAACAGTATAAAACCGACCAATAGAGACCTTCTTTTCCAGTTACACCATACAATACATGCCCCTTGTCTGTTGCATATCACAATCCACAGCTTAGTTGACACAAAATCTTAACACCTTCTGTCAACCTTAATCTTAATAAATGTGTGACCCAAGCTCAGTTTGTGTCAACCTGGCGTATAACTAACCAAGGTTTGTTTGTTTGATAAAGACCATACACTCTACCTGTGAGATGACTTTAGGCTGAACTCTCTGGATCGGCTTCTTTGCTGGTGTGCCTGTGGGTTTTTTACAGTTGACAAGGTTGAGAGGGAAGGGTAGTGCAACAGCTGTACATATCCCATAATGTATAGCTCCACAGGGTAAGCCCAACTTCTTCAGTTGAGCAACATCACACACAGCACAACTATGTAGTGATCTCCGCCACTTAAGCTCAATTTTACTTGTGTAATACACAGTTACCCGTGAGTGTACGTACTTAACGCAGGCATACTTCTTCTGCATAATAGGTGACCCTGCTCTTCTTCAGCACAAGAATATCAGAATGAGATATAAATATCCAATTGAAGACATGTGGTTCCGGAACAAACAATATACACATCCACACTTATACACACCACTAAGAAAACTTTCAGCCAACTTTATAACCTCAGAGAGTGAGGACACGCAACATCACACAGAGATCAAAAAGTTGGCGTGCCGATTAAAATATCCTGTGACTCGGTGAAGTGTGTCGGCCTATTCTATCTGCTGCCAGTAAGGCTTGTATTGCGTAGGGCCTTTGTTAATGAGAGACAGACAGCATGGCTGAGAGGTGTAGGATTTTCTGCCAGTTACACATTCACCATGAGGCGTTCAGCAGCCAGTCTCAACAGTAAGCATCTTCGACAGACCTAGGGGCAGATTCCTTTTATGGAGAGCCTACGTAGGAAGTGTAATCCCGCCCTTAGTGCCCACCGACTCACAGACTGGGAAACTAACTTTGGTCACTAGTCACTATGGACCTCCTGGGTGTGGTATTTATAAGCTGGGGAGGACATCCGCAGAAAAACTTGTGAGCAGGCTTCTGTTTTTGATGTTATGGAGAGGATCGACTATTGTGCCTTCCTGCCTGAGGCTAGCTCCTCCTACGCCTAAAACAGGCTGGGATATTAATCACCTCAACAGCCAACAAACATCAACACTTAAGTCCTGACTGAAGAAACTTGAGTAACAGTCAGGAAAATAGAATTTCATCTGTGCATATCTTCACAAATCCTAGAAATATAATGAAGATCTTTTGTCCATAAGCTGCTGTTTTTAAGATGAAAGAGTGTCATCTAAGTCCATGAGTAAGTATCCTTTTACCCATAAGCTGAGCCCACTGTTGTGGCAGACGGCCAAATGACTGGAGGTAATTCAAGCTGTAGTTGAAGCAGGCTTGGCTATGCTAGTCAGCTGTTAGTGATAACTGGCCAGTCTATCTGACCTATACACATGTGGAGAGTTCACACAGTGGACATGCCTGTAACATCTCCCTACTCTCAACAAGACACTAACAGAAGGACACTTCATCAAGTTAGGAACAAACTCTAATAGTTCCAGTCCATTATAGACTGTTCTCATCAGGATATGTTCATCCCCATTTCTCCTGTCTTGTTTCAGTCAACTGACTACACCAAGGACTCTCCGGACAGAAAGTGTCCACAATACATCTATGCTTAGGGTGCTGTATAGCTACACCTGTGAGAACATCTTCATTTCATACATAACTCCAGCTATACAATTCTTAGCCCAAGGCAAGTAAAGTTTCACCTACAGTCATTATCTAGTATTAATATTACCACATTTACAGTCTAGTAATTGCTGCAACAAATGAACAGGGTTTTTTTCTGGATGTTTTCAGGCACCTTGCTTTCCATTACAGTCATATCTTATGAAATGCAAGCACAAGACATCAAGATACGACAATGAAGTCATACACTTACATTTATGACAAACCAGATTAATATTTTCTAAGTGGTCACTAGTTCTCAATACAAGCCGACCAGTTGTGACAAACGCTTCTGTACATCTACACTTAAGAAAGCCTCCTGTCATCAGAACCTACTTCATGAAACATCAGCTGTTGTGTAATTACCAGCTGACTATCCAGCTGCTCACACACTGTGGGTTATCTGTCTATATTACACACTCTAGCAATATTTAACATACTGTCTCTGGATAACACTGCATGTGGTAGTGTCTATCACAGGCTATTACATAATCAACAGGAAAGCCTGTCTTGAAAATCTGCTGTTAAGTCCTAATGTCCACTTCCACATGGATTCAGCACACATGAACTGGAATATTCTCAGTCATGTATATCACAGGGGTGGAAATAACTTTACAATTGCTAGTGTACTCCGGTACAGTTGCACATGTAACATCACTTGCCCTGATAATTTTTCCACTATATCGGCCAATTTTCTTGTAGATTTTTTAAATAAACAACATAATTAACATTGGAAAGTCAACTGGACACCGGTACAGCGTGATAAACAAATTTGCTTGGCCGACAGAAAAAAACACTGAACTGGGGCATCGGGCAATGGGTTATTTCCACCCCTGTATCATCTTTACTAGAAGTGTTTTTAAAGATAACATGAATCAAGATGGAGATATAACATCAAGAATTATTAATAACATCAATTCGAGTTGCCAAAAACCCATCATGTACCTAGCCAGCTAGTCTGTCTCACAGTCCCTGAACCACATTAATTTCCCTACTGCCAAGCCCTCTCTGCCGTGCTAAAGCCCTAAATAAAGCAAGTCTAGATTTCCTCAGGTTCTGAATCTCTGGTCCTTCTAGGGCTCCTTTTCAATATAAATAGGCTTGTTTGTTACTATCAAAATTATATATATTCAGAGACTAAGCCTTAGTCTACTAGCCAGCCAGCACATGTAGTCAGGAGTCTATGTCAAGCGGCACATGTTTACTGCATGTGGCATGTGCTTACACCACACAGAACACATTGGCAAGTGACAGAGTTCAGAGCACACTCTTCCTTTAACAATATGCCCTGCATCATTCCATTCTACAAAACTGGGTTTTTTACTATTGCGGAGGATATTGTTCACCACCAAACTTGTGGTGAACAGTGTTGCTATTTCTAGTTATTTCTGATTTCAAGCGTTCTAGGTATGTGATGCATTACTTAACTTGCAGTTAATTCATACATTTTCATTGATTCATTTTCAAGTTTACATTTGATGGGGGAAAACATGCTTTTCAGATTATATTTGGTTTCAATTCATGTTTTCCAGCTAACAGAATCTGTAAACACTGCCAGACAAAGTCTTAAAGGAGAATACGAGTGAATTGCAATAATTTGATGGGTGAAAGATAAAGTCATCAGAAACATATTCCCAAATTTTCAATTAAAACTTATGTATAATTATGTTTTAATGGCGAAAACAGTTTCTGTAAATCTCAGCTCCGGCCATTATGCAAATTTCGCTGGAATCCACGTGACCTTTCCACTCGTGACGTCAAATGTGCCTGGAGTCCGCCATATTGCCAAAGACCAAGCGCTACAGTAGTACAAATCGTGTTGTTTCTGTCGTTTTTTTAAATGGTACAATGGTGTATTGCGTTGCCTGGGGATGCACGACATCATCGAACATGGGAAAGAACCACCATTTCTTCCGTTTTCCAAGTGAAATGACAGATTTCTGCAGGAGAAATGCGCCGATCATTCCGAGTCGGACGCATATGAAAGAGACATGCACGCATGGGGTATGGAAATACCCAAGCTAGGCTGAAGAAGGAAAAAGTACCCACGAGATTCATTAATTAATTCATTCCCTGTAACAACTTACTGTCAGTGGTATTTTTAACATAAAATCAAGTCTGATTGCCAGTCGAATTGCCCCCGCTACAAAATGACCAGGCAAATTTGGTCAAATTGCCCCAGTGGGGTAGTCGAAATGCCCCAATTTATTTAAAATGAATAAATATAGGCCATAAATTCATAGTTTTGTCAACTTTGATATTATGTTCATCATATATAAGTATATACATAGTTATGAGTTTACCGATGAAACATTTATCAGAAATATTACTTCCTAATAACTGTTATATGAAGAACATAATATCATAATAAGTTGACAAAACTATGCATTTACGGCATATATTCAATCATTATAAATAAATTTGAACAAATAAGAATGAATGACCAAATTTGCTGGGGCATTTGTAGCTGGGGCAGTTTGACTGGTACACATGAGATATATATTATCAAAATCAGTAAGAGATTTCACATGAGCTTGAAAATGTTTCGCTATAACGTTCTTTTTGGTTTGGAGCCCTAAATGATGCAGTCAACTCAAAACATTGCCGAATACAACGGCAAATCATGAAGTACTTGTTGCTTTCATTGTTTTCCATTTTGTCCAATTACGCACGTCGGCATCAGACTCGCTATTTGTCAGTAGTGTGTGCCGTGGAAGTTGTTCTGTATTCTCATTGGCTGACAGGATGTCATTCTAAGGCTATGACCGAGTACCATAACTATTTCCATAACCAAACAATGGGGAAACATACGTTGTCCTGACTAGTATTTTATAATTCACCAGTTTTCGGGGAATAACTTATCTGCGTTGCGAATATTATCTCTGCTCGACCAGGCTGGGATCTTGTATCGAGACTTGATACGTTATTAATGAGAACTAGGATCCTAATTTTTTTCAACAAAATAATTCCAGTGTCATTTTTTAAGCAGATAATTTTTATTTTCCCTCGTCTGAAGCATAATTATTTTGTTTTTAAATCCCAGACACCCTACAGTCACCCATTTGACACAAAATGAACTGTAATCACATTGGTTTTTAAATAATTCTTAGTGACTGGTCATATATTTATAGGGGTGAGTTTGCTGGCTGGAACTGTATGACATTTTGCTGACAAATAGTAATCTTGTCAAATGATATGGTCTATTTTTAAATTTATTTTGACCTCAAGCGATGCCTCCGTTTCGCTTGATTCTTCTTCTTCATCTTCAGTGGAAGATTGTCTTGCAAGATGTAAAATCGGATCGTATTGATACGGTCTAACATCCATTTCAGAAATAACATCAGGAACATCTTTTACTGCTTCAGAATCCACGGACACTGTTAAGTTGTGAGCTAAAATCAAAGAGGAAGCCATCAGCAACAGGCACTTATGACGTCATGTCACGTGATACCCCCCTCTGCTCATTAACTGTCGGGTGTGTCCGTAATAGGCGGAAATACGAGTACGTTTTTGTGTTTTTATTGCTATTTTACAAACTTTTTGTTCAATTTTAATCATGGAATGTGACTTTTAGAATATCCTTTACAATATATCAAAAGTTTTTGTTTTCGTTCGTATTCTCCTTTAACTTGGACAATGTGGAATGGTGAGGCAGCCCTTAACACTAATACTGACTGACTGAGTTTAGTTTTACGCCGCTTTTAGCAATATTCCAGCAATATCACGGCGGGGGACACCAGAAATGGGCTTAACACATTGTGCCCATGTGGGGAATCGAACCCAGGTCTTCGGCGTGACGAGCCAACGCTTTAACCACTAGGCTACCCCACCGCCCTTAACACTAATAACAGCTATATGAACAAATACACCCTGCCAAATATGTCAAGTCTTTTCAGAGTTCGATATCATTTTGTTAATCTAAATGTCTTATTGACAGTAAAATTATTCAAATAATGTATGATACATAGCCCAATTTGAGTAAAACACATTTGTGATCCTTTTCTGATAATGTGTATAGATGCAAAACTAGACTTTTAAAGTGTTCCTTGAAGATTTTAATGTGCACTGTTATCTTTCTGAGGGGACTCCTGGAGCTGGATTGCAGTATACAGGATACCTTCTGCCAATGTGGTACTTCACCAAGTAGGACTTGCATATAATTTGATATATGGTATGAATAAATGCTCAGCTTTCTAAATATATAAACTTCAAATAGTTTCTGTACCCATTGGTGACTTCCGGCACTTCCAGCTGGGTGGTGACCAGTCTGTTATTTTCTTTATAATGATATCAT